TTGACCATACGAAATTGATGTTTGTGTGGAATGCGTTTGTGATTTCTTAATATTTGCCAAATGAATAGTTTCACGATGAAGATCCCACTTATTGAAAGTGGAATCGTTTTTGTTTGCTGGTATTAAATCGTTAACTATAACCATTTCAGTTTGCGTGTCGATATTTTTAAATTTAGGATCATCTTTGACATCATTCTCATGATCCCGTTTAAGAATAATATCCATTAAATTGTATAATAATGTTAGATCGATTGATGTAAAAATCGTATTATTCAACTTAAGTATAAACTCCTCAAAGTGACGTTGCGCGAATTTCGATAGACCAAGATTAGAAAAACCAAACTTGATCTTCATATTGTCACATATCTGCTTGTTTATGGTACCTGGTAATAGAATCCCCTGAGTTAATGCTATAGTTAGAGAGCAGTGTTTCTCTATTATTGACGGCTGTTAATATATTTCATATTAATATATTAATTAGTGTTAATATAATTATTTACTTACTATTGCCATAAAATTAGTTTTGAGTTCCCTTCGTTCTATTTCTTTAAGATTTTCTTTAAATGTATAAACTAATGGTGATTTTGTTAGCATACTTTTTTTGACGCTAGTTTTAAGTATTTCTAAAAAATTTTTGCGTATAGATTCGGAATTATATTCGTCCATTATATCTTTAATTCTGTTAATTTCAACTAATACATTTAGGTTAAAATTTAAGTTATTCCACAGTTTGGACAAGTAATTGAAATGAGGCTAGAGAATAATTAAAAAAAAGATATTAATTATGTTTAATCATGTATAAATTAAATATATACTAATAATCGTTATAGGGTTAATTATTTAACCTATCAGTACAAAATATCGCCCTAACAGTGCAGTGTGCGTATACTGAAATACGATTAAAAAGATTTTTACAAAATCCTTGGATTTTATCAAGACACTTTAAACTTTAAGAATGCCTTGAAATTTCAAAAATGGCTCCTACAAAACCTACATAGAGGTTTAACTGTATCTGGTATCGGTAGGGCTTAGTGTATCTGATATCGGTAGATCTAAGTGCATCTTACAGCCATCTTATTAACCTAACCTAACCCATCATCATAGAACAAGAAAAGCCTATAAATATATATTTATATATATATATTTATTTATATATTTATAATTTTATATTTATATTTATATTATACTATGTATATTAATATGGATTTATCATGTTATATATATTTAATACTTTTATATTAGAATATACATATATATTCACTAATTTTATATAATATATATATATATATATATATATGAAAAAATTTTCGTAAAATACTACTTTTATAAAGAAATAATAAAAAATTGGTTTCTTTATGGGTGAAGCAAAAGGGACTGCTATTATACTTGCAAGAATTGTCAATTAGCTTAATATAGGTTTCCATATGGCAAAGCGTATAAATATCACGCATATATACGTGTATCTCAAATGTGTGCTCTAACTGTAACTTTACGCCCTAGGTTTCTCATTTATGTTTTCTTGTTGAAATACACATACAGACTTGGACTAATCTCTTTCGATGGCTTCATCTCTTCAATGTAATAAGTTTTCTTTATATGAACCCAGATTAGATTCAATATTCCCACCTATTTGTCTTTATTATTTAGACACTACTCTCCCTCTGAATCATCCTCCTCAATCATTTCTTTTGTGTATGCTTTGAACATCTTTTATGGGATTTAAAGAGACTACAGAAATAACAACAACGAACGACTATTGGTAGTTATTAAATACAAAAACTTATATCGACTTACAAATATAACTTCTCTGTTAATTGCTGTACGAAACTTCAGTAATTCTATGATCCTATTTATGACACATGTGAACTTCTCGATATTAAACTTAATCTGTACCTCGCATTTTTCAAATTTTTCTATTACTTGTTTCAAAAATTTTGTATACACCTCAAATAATACAGTATATTTGTTTAATAATCGAAGTTTTTCCATAGGCCAAGTACAACTTATAGTGCGTTTTTCGGAATCTAGCTGAATCATTTTTGATATACCATCAACGGACATTTCGGATAGTTTCATAACATCTGCTTCCGCTTCCTTCAAAGATTTTTTTGTATTATTTTTTGCCATTTCAAGATCACCAATCACTATAAGAAACCCATTAAATCTATTAATCCAGTAAATTTAACATACAACATACAATCCCGTATTCCTTCATGGTTATTGCTTGGACCTAATGCAGTATACAACATAATACCACACACAGTTTCACTTAAGCGTTTCAAATAAGCCACGCGATTGTAGCGTTTTTTGTGTATGTAAGTTTTTAAGTCATCGGCACCAATGACACTGCTTAACGCTTGCTTACCGTTTCTCAAGAGCTAAAAAGAAACATAACATTTTTAACACAATATATAAATTAATATTTATAATTTATATACCACAGAATCTTTAGGATCTCCCATCGTAAAATTTATTATTGTAAAAATGATCATTTTATGGAAAAGTTCCTCAATTTGCTTCTTATTGCTGTTTTCTGGATACTGCAGAATATCATGCAGGAAAAATTGCAATTTTTGTTCAAATTCCTTCTCATATTTTTCAGTTAAAAACTCGTTTTCCAGTTCCTTGCAATTGTTGACGGAGTATACCATCTTAAAAGTACAACCTGTCGGATCTAAAGGATTTTCAAGTATCCTCAAGGCCCCCTCTAGGAAATAAGCTATGTCACAAGATGTTAGCTTGCGCATAGGCAGTCCATCACGTGAGTCACGTGCCAACAAATGTAGATAATTGTAGGCAAATTTCTCGTCGACTTCCAAATTCCGTTCTTCACATTTTTTCATAAATTCGTCTAAAATTGAGCCCAATAAAAATGATACAACCATTTTAGACTTAAATTTAATAAAATAAATAGAATAGAATAGATTCTCCCTTAACAAAAGTTTATTTTATAATTTTTCCAACAAGAGAATATTGTGTTTTTTTAAACGAACATTACTTTATTTGGTTGCTAAGATATTTAGTTATAAAAAATAAATTTAGTCATAGAATTTAGTGCTGTGAATTATTTCTACTATTCACATTATTGTGAATAAAGACTGTATAATAATTTTCAGTAAAAAGGGACAATAACGCAACCAACAAATTTATTGTAAAACCGATTTTTATCGGTAGCGATTTTTCAGTAGCTTTTGAATGGAATGGATGAAATGAAATGGACTATATCAGATTTGTCAAAAAGCTCGTAACCTAGAATGTAAGACGTCGAGAACTATGTAAAAAATATTTATTTATTTAACAGCTAGGACTAACTAGATGACACGTCCACTTGGGTCTTTAGACTAAAAGCTAATTCGGTGGGCTTCGTAATACTACGAGGGCTGTCTTTTAAGACTTGCGCCTAATAATGAATATATTTTCTTTTTGCATTATTATTATTCCCTTGGTGTATTTACAATGTATTTATTATTATTATTACAATGTATTTATGTATTATACTTTGTACATTATATGGCATCTGTATTATTTCCAACCAGATCTTAGCATTTAAGACCAGACCTTACTGGGATTTAAATCCAGACTATGTGTGTCATAATTGCAGCACATTGTTACTTCAAATAAATGAAATCATAAACAAAAACTGCCATAATTCGTGATTACAGTTAGACAGGACAAATAGGCTATATAAAGGGTATATAAACTGCATCCATTGGAAATAGACATGTTATTCGTGATAATAACTGTTTAGTACTTAAATATCTATTGACTTAAGGAGACCCAGAACAGTGGTAGCTGCTGAGGAAGAAGTCTTTCATTTCTGGAGATTACATGTGAAGGCTGTTAAGAACTTTTCTTCACCACTGTTATATCGCAGTAAACTCCTGTTGTTAGAATATATCCGAGCTAATTCATGTCTGTAGTAAAGGCGGACCATAAATAGTAGTAAGTGGTGTAAATCTGGTATCACAAGCGCCAGGGCCCCTTATTTTAGGCTAATTAAAATTGGCCCATTTCATGGGTGTATCGTGGTGACTGTGGTTAAAACCCAAAGTTATGCAAGTAGAGTGAGTGTATTTATCATTTCAGTAGAGTTGAATTTTTTAACCGTTTGTGTTAGATGGGCCTCACTTTTTTCCAAGAATGAAACTATATCCAAACGTATAGCTACAATTGGTATCGGCGAAATTCCTTGAAATTTTGTTGCGCCGTTTTCGTCGCATTATACTGATACGTGTGTTAATAGTACCTTAATGGCAGGTAAAAAAAAAAAACTTACTTTGATAAGTCTTATTTGTAAAACCCAATGTAAACTCCATTGGGTATTGTGAATAGTACTGTTATAAATACTAAAACGCCTGAAATCTAATGACGTAATGCAATTGGCTAATAGGACGTAAAAACCTTAACTTCGCTAGATAGCACATAAATGTTGTGTTTATATTAATTTATTTTAAATATCATGTATTTAAGTATATAACGAAATAATAAAATTGATTTTAGTATTTATTTCGTTATAAGAATGTGAATTTACCTAAAACTTTAATAATTATTTATTGTTATTACTATAAAAAATGGAAAAATAATTAAAATAATTGTACATTTAAAATATTGTATGTAAATAAAAATGATTTAATTTGATGTATTTTTAGATGTTTACACTATCCCAGAAATGGGTAATGCTTCATGTATTAGTTTTCGTGGCTATTTTGCATTCTGTGGAACTCAAACTGGCTATTTGCAAATGTTTCGAATGGCATCTCCAACAAGATTTGTATTCATAAAATCCATCAAAGTGCTATCGCGTTACATTAGTCGAATTAGTTGGAGTCCAATAGTAACAGATCGCTTTGCTGTAGTTGGCTCAAATAAGGAAATCCATGTTTTCAGTTTTGATGAAAAGTCAATGGAGTTAATAAAAATTCACACATTAAGCGTTGACAATCTGCAAAATCAATTTTCAGATATAAAATGGAGTAACAGTGATGGGGATAGATTTGTAACATGCTCTCTTTCAGGCGAGGTTCGTGTGTGGGATATGAAAGAACAAAATAATAAATTAATCACTACTAAAGTCTTCAATTGCCCCATACGTTGTGCTATGTTCTTGCCAACCGATGAGAATATTGTTTTGTGCTGTGGTAAAAATTTATCACTGGAAACATTTGATATACGTTCAAACTCCGTATTGTCAACTTTAAATAAGCGTGTTAGCTCAATAGATAACATTCTATGGGCCACTAAAGCTTCAACTGTTATGCCTAAGCGTAAAAAGAATACAGGCCTCAAATCTGAAGAAATGCAGTCTACAATTAACATGGAAGATAATAACGAAGATCACATAAATGACAATAATTTGGATCTTGAAGGTAACCGAGAAGAAAACAGTGCAAAGACTGTAGATGAAACTAAAGAACGTGTTCAATCAATTACCGCTGTTAGAGAAAAAGTAATTGTAAATAAAATATTCTCTCGGTTTTTTAATTGTACAATTTTTTTTTCAGGAACCAACGACAGTTCTTTACATGATAGGCAAAGAAATCAATAGGAATGCCAATCAAATATTATTAAATATTTTAGATAAACGCAGTCAAAAAGAGCGAAATGACGATACGAGCTTATGTGCTAAGCTTTTTGGTAGCAAAGATGATTTGCAAGAAATTTTTAATGCTGAATGTAAGATAGAATTTTTATGTGTTCTTTTGTATATTAAATAGCTCCATTCAACTGAATAGACCTATCCATTGAATCAATATCTTTGAATGTGGAATATATAATATTTACAAATTGACACGGAGTACACTTAATATTTTATTCCACAGATGCAAAACAATTTTTAATTATTTTTTATGGTTATAATATAAAGAATGGAATAACGGAATGATATGGATTATAACAGTGTTTTCTAAGCTTTTTTGTTCTACGTCTCATCTAAGAGTCTTTTAAGGTTAGTTAGCGTCTATAGATTAATGAAGTTACGATTATAAAAACGACAGGGTTATAATGCTTCTTGTAGAAAATTTAGTTTTGAATTTAATATTGGAGTTTTATAATAAATGATGTAATTATTATTTCACATTCTATAAAAAAACTGATCTACAGTTAGATCATAGAGTTATAATTATGACCATCTGTTATAATTATAAAATTTAACGTTATTATTAAATATTAAAAATAATATTTTACCAATTAAGTAATAAATTTAGCTAACTATATCCGGTATTCTCTTGCATTTGAGGTTCAATGTAAGTCTAATAATTTTGTGGCATTATCGGACTTAAATATTTGTTATTGTGTTGTTATTATAGTCCTTACTATAGACCTGCTTGTTATGCTTCTGACAAGTGTCGAACGAATGAACCGTGCATGAAGGGTCTATTCGGTGGAATCGTACTAAATATTTTTATTAATATAATTAATATATATTTCAGTAAACCAGATTAAGATGTCAGGGGTAACAGGAACAAATCTAGGTATAATACCATGCCTAACAGGTAATATTAAAGAATACATCGTGAAGCAAGCAGAAGCTAAGAAGCTTACGGAATGGCATTTGATGATGGCACCAAAAATTTCAATTAGGTAAGTACTGGTCATATTTTTTTTATATCTTAGGTATTAAATATTAATATAATAAAATATAATAAAAAAGTAGATGTATTAAAAATAATTCTTTCTAACGTTATAAACAAGAATATTAATTATAATAGAACTTTTGAATTGAAATTTGAAAAGTATTCTTAAAAAGAGTAATTAAATTAATTATTTAAATATATATTACAGAAAAACACAGTGCTTACCCACATATTTCACAACATGAACAACATGAAATATTATTTCATAAATAAACTAGAACTCCGATCTATATTGCTGTAAAATAGAACACAAATAGTGTTAATTTCTTATTAGGATCAGGGTTCGTTAGGGGGAGATGACCCGACTTAGAGGGACAAACATTTGGAGGTATAAAACCACATGCTTGTTTGATTAGGCCTTCCCTTTGATGAAGGACTTCAATGAGCAAAACTCATTTCGAAAAAGTAAAGTGTTATTATATGTTACTTTCAACATAATGATTTCTATTAAACATTGCTCAAAGAGCAGAAAACACTCACAAAAAGTTTTCAACTTTAAAGGTGAAATATATTTAAAATTTTTTGGATATGTGTGTGGACTTAGAACATTTTTGGATCGTAAGTTACGATCTGTGCTCTATACTTTACCTTCTGCATTCCAGACTGATAAAAGAATACTTCCTCTTTTCAAATTGTTATTGAACTCAAATATTTATAAAATATTGTAGATTTGAGTCAAGTATTTTGAGATCACTTTAATATTTATAAGTACCGATAGCAATGCATTGTTTTCAAACTATATGAAATAAATTTATATTGGAATTGAAATGTTTATATAAAAAATTTAAATTAATCATAAAATTATATTTTCGTTATAGATTTTGGGAAAAGTGCATGAATGCTTTCGCATTGCAATTGAAGGAAGAAGGCAAACCCCTTTATTCTGCTTGTACCTATATAGGTATTAATAAGATCTCTGAAGCCATTAAAATCTTATACGACCGCAATCTATTTCGCGAAAGTTTCTTAGTGGCGCGCTTATACTTAGAACCAGATGATCCGAAAATCATTAAAATTTTTGAAGATTGGGTATTGTATTTAGATTTAACTGGCAACTTTAGTGGAGCAAGTTTGCTGTAAGTTTCACTCTATACACACTGGATTTATTTAAAAATAATTTATTAATTTGTATTTTCTTTTTAGCTGCTTGCTGTCTGGTGAAAAGAAACGAGCCTATGACTTGATATGTAAAATTCGTCAAAGGGACGAACATATTGAACACATAATTAATATGTTTTCAAATACTTCTATATAAAATCGTTCTTGTTTACGAAAGACGTTTTATATAGTGCCACATTTTTATATTTTTATTAAAAATTCTATATATAAGTTTAAGTTGTATATAATAGATATATAATAAGTCCGTATATTATATATGCGAATATTATATATATTATGTATACGTATTTTTCGAAGAAGGATAAGCAGTTTTATTAGTTGCTTTGTGGATATAATAATAATTATAAATGCATTATAATTAAAATTCAAAATGAAATTATAAACGTATTTCAAAGTTGAGAAGATAGAATTAAAAAGATTTCCATAGATCAATAATGAAGATATTAATTTATTATAACTTGCATAACCGGGTATAAAAGGTGACAACAAATACGTTAGATTATTTTTTATTTAATTATAACTTAACGATTAATAGTGCTTAATTACACCATATCAAAATTTTCTAAATCAATCAGTTTCATTAGCTGCTTTTTAATTTCAGTTAAAATTATAACAGTATACATTCTAAAATTGGAAACAAAATTATAAAAGTATTTGAAATTTTTTCACAACAATCAATCAACGATCGATAATTTTTCATCCATAAAAGCAAAGCTTAATATGGTTAATATATTTAAGAGAAATACTAATATTTAACGAAGATGTTTAAGTTTAAATGAATTTTCAAATTATTAATTTTAAATTGAAGATTTAATTTTTTGTAGTAATATAAGTGGCATAGTCAAAAAGAGGCTTAATGGCATAATTTTCATTAATATTTTTTTTTATTATTTTCACCGTTATTGTTTAAAATAAAAATGATTTATGAATTGTTACTAAATTGACATAAATAAATAAAACTGAATTGCTTAATACATAATGAAATTTAATCAAAGCTATCAGATACGTGTTATTAATAAGGTCAACTTTTAGCCAGACGAAGGAGTAGCGCCAATTTCTATATTGAGTCCAGCATACAAATTTGTTAATAATATCAACATCGCATAAATCACTTTTCTAAATTCGGAAAGAAGAATTTAAGTGTAGTAAAAGTGAATTTAGCATCTACTTCAAGTGAATTGAATTCTAGTAAATTGTAATAAATCCGTTTAATATTTTTGAAATGATAAAATTAAGATCACTGATTTGATTTCGTGGTTCCTGAAATGTCAAAAATTGCTTTCACAACTATAAAATCGATGTGGCAATTTCCTTCCAGTATTGCTAAACGGATTCATGTCCCAGATAAAGTGCTTGACACTTCAACGTTTTTGCTTTAAATCTCCTCCATATCTCCTCCGTTATCTTGCTGGAACGTAAAATGTATTCAGATGATGTTTCGATATGTTGACTAAAGCTTCACTCAATAAATTCAGCAAAACAATATAAACTCTTCAAATCATATTCTTAAAAATTAAATCTAACTAGACTATAAAGGTTAAATAATTTTTGTCAAAAGATCTGTATTTTTCTTCTGACAAAATATCACATCATATGGATCATCTTAGAAAACGACAGGAAACAGTATCAGTATTGGAAAAATTACTATTTTACGAACTTAATTTTGATTTAAATGACTCGTTTTCAAACGACATATACAACAAGTTTTAGTTGGCAATAATCTACTGGTCTGAAGAAAATAATAGTGAAGGACTCAAATAAATTGACTAAATTGAATTTTGTAAATCTATACCTATGTAATATTTTATTCTTTGGTTCTTTCTTAGTTAAAACTGTACATGCCAATTTTTAGTGCTATTTTGTTGAATTTGTTTTTATTTTGATCTTTAATACTTTTTTTCCCCCTTTTTTGGTACCGTTAACTAGCTAACTTTGTGCTCGTTTATAATTCTATATTTCTAAAATGGTTTTGTGTTTGTTTTTTATATTAAACAAGCCTTTTTGGTACTGTTTGTTAGCACTTTTGCTCGTTTATGATGCTATTTTTCTAAAATTGTTTTTGTGTTCATTTTTTATACATGTTAAATATTTTTTAGTACTGTTATTTAGCACTTTGGCTCGTATTTGATACTGTTTTCCTAAAAATGTTTATATATTTGTTTTTGATGGTGAACAAGTGTTTTTTAGTACTGTTAGTTAACACTTATTTTGATAATAATTTTTCGGAATTATTGTTATGTTTGTCTTACACTAATTTTGATACTATTGGTTATGTTTTTTTGCTTATTTCTGATAAAGTTCTTGTGTTCATCTTTAATACATATATAGAGTTTTTTGTTACTCTTAGCTAACGCTTCAATTTTGAATTATTTTATTATCCATAATTCAGCTAACTAAATCATTTAACGCTTACTTAAGTAAAGTGAAGGACTTTCTTTATTTATTATGAGTTTAATACAGAATAATTTTTTCAATATCTTATAATTACTTCAGTTTATTAAATATTCATTAAATATTTATTAAATAATTTATTTTTTCTGTTTTTTATTTCTAAAGAATCTAGCATATTTTCAGGCTAAATGGAAATTCCATGAAACATAATACCTTTATTGTATACCACAAACAGTCGTTTTTTAATTTTATTAATTTTTTAAAAAATTTTAAGAAAAAAAATATTGTGAGGGTGATATACGATAGTTTTTATGGATAATGTGATTACTATAATGTTATATAAAAAGTTTTTTGTTTGTTTAGTTTGAAGCTATATGTATATTAGAAAAAAATATCTAATATCGTTAACCTATATTTTCAAAGGAATTCGTCCTGAGGAAAAAATTCAATGCACTTCAAAATGTTAGTGACATTTTTATATGATTTTTATACAGAAATATTTTTTTATGAGTTTATGAATTTTATATAGGAATGTTCCATTTATATATAGGAACATATATTCTTATATAGGAATATAAAAAATAACTATATAAAATAAATAAAAATTAAAAACAGTCCTTTATCGTTGTCGATAAAAATGAAAATTTAAATTATAATCTTTAAAATTTTTTTAAAGTATTTAATTCATAAAACTATTGGAAAAAATTTTTGGTAAGTGCGTGTTCAGTCTGGTATTTGCGTTAAGACATGAACTTGTCAAAATTCGTTAAAACTTTTATTAATTGCTATTTTTTTTTATTTTTCTGTTGAGTTCTTATTCCAAATTGAATCGATATAAAAAAATATTTTAACTAAATACATATATAACTGCTTTATTATTTGAACTAAGTTAAAAAAAAAAATAAATCACACAATAAACACATTTAATTATTTTGCATATTATTATGATTACTTCCTTTGAATAGCATTATAAGCTTTGTTCTAGATGGTTTTAACCCTTGGGTTTTTAATAATGCGGTAGTACAAAGGGCCTATAGACGTAAGTGGATTGGTATAACCTAACCTAACCAATTATGATTAACAGAAACCAAAAAAAAAAAAATTCAATCTACATATATAAAAATATATTACAACTAAATATATAACTGGTCTATTATTTGAACTTAGTTGAGAAAAAATAAAAACTAAATCACACAATAAACACATTTTATTTCCCTGCATATTATTATTATTAACAAAAACTCAAAAACTCAAAAAAAAAAAAAAATTCACACCAATTTAAGTATTTCAAAAATAAACAAAAATTACTGAGTCTTGGCTTCCCACAATTAAGAATTAAGAACTTACTTTACCCTCAGTATAATGGTCAAGCATTGTTTACCGTAGCGTGAATATTTGCACTAATTTTTAACTCAGCACACAGATTTACGCATTAAAATTCTCATAAGAAATTAAGAAGTTAGATTAGAGATCAGAAAAAAAAATCTCAAAAAAATAGCATAATAACAAAAACAAATAAATAAATGACTGACAAATTCACACAGATTAAATATAACAACAATTAGGCAAGTTAAGAGCAAAGTCAGCAAAGAACTATCAAAACTCAACTGGCCTGGCCGTAAGTTTATATAGACAAACATAGAAAGAGAGCAACTGTAAGAAAAACGTAAAATGGCTTAAACAGCTAATTGCAGTTCAAACTTCTCTATTTGTTAGCAAACTGCAGAGCTTTAGTTTAATTTTTGTTAGCATTGAACAAGCACAAGCACAAGATTTTAGTTATAAAGAAGTCGGCAAAGTGAGCACAACGAAGCATTTATTTGTCTCGAGTTTGTTGTTTAAATTAATCGTTTCCACTTTTGCTTGTGTGCTACGGTTTCGTGCTACGATTTGTGCTACGCTTTTTGCTTCATTGTTATTGTATTTGTTGTTGTAGTTATTGTTGTTACTGCTGTTACTGCTATTGCTGTTGTTATTGTTATTGTTCCTGTACAGTAATTCGAAAGCTCTTAATGGCGGTAATATGCAGTTATTTCGTTGTAGAAGCCACGCAAACTTTTAACACCAAATAATTTGTTAAAAAAAAGCAACAAAAATTGTTTATGCATCTCTAAATTTCTACGCACATATAAATAAATCAACGTGTTAATGCATATCTGTTTAATATTAGTTTGTGTGATTATTGTATTATTGTAATTACTGGTGCAGTTATAATATATTTTTTTATTAATATGAACGAAGCAAACTAGCTACATTTGAGTAACAAAACAAAAACAAAAACAAAACTAAAAATAAAAATATAAACAAAACGTAAAGCAATATTAAATTATATGTGTGCGACGCTTAAGCAATTAAAAACTAATTAAATTTATTAAAGGAATTTCGCTTTACTCTAATATTAAATGATGGTTGCCGTATTGGGAAAATGCTTAATTCTTACATAAACAAATAAAAATAGAAATATTTCTGGTAACATGTACTATAAGAAATATTTATAAAAATATATTGTTACTTCAGCTTCTTCCAACAAATAATTAAATTCAACAACAAAAAAAAACAATTTATACATATATATATACGCATATAAATATATTTAAAATATTTATTTATTCCTTCTTCATTTGTGCATGACTCAAGCTTTAACAATTTTTCGTGTGTTACTTTTTTAATATTATTTTGTGCTCAGTGTGTGTGTGAGTGTCTTTTTTTTGCGCGCTTCTATATGAAATCATATACATACATATATATTTTTTTTGTGCTAAATTACTATTTATTATGCTGCGGTGATTTACGAGTGGTATTGCGCTTTGATTGACAACAACAATAATAATATTGAAACCCTTCGTTGCATATAAAAGCAATAGCGAGGAAAGTTGCAGCAATACAAAAAGCCGTTATTTTTAAACTTATTCATACGCTTGCTTCTTCGCATAAAAGTGAAAGGTGATTATTTTATTACAGTTTAAATTATTATATTTAATTTATTTTATCTATTCAAACATTATATGTACATATTGAAAAATGCGGAAAAAGTATATAATTATATGAGTAGAAAAATTTTCGCATTTATTAATAATTCATAAGTAATAAAAAAAAAAAATAAATAAATTAAAAATAAAAAATAAATACAATTTATTAAAAATCATGATACGCTCAACATAATCCGAAATCTCGTCATAAAATTATTTTTATGGTTTATTAACACTTAAATTATGTACATACATAAATATTCAAAATTATTCACATGCATGGTGAATTAATATTTCAAACATGCATATTAAATGAAGTCATACTTATTCATATAAAAATAAATGTGTTTATATATATATATATTTAAATGCATTTTTTATAAACATACATTTAAATATTCCTTCCATATCTTCTTTTAATTTTTTTGTGTCATGAAAATAAGAAAAAAAGGAAATTTTGAGTATAATAATTGGACAAATCGTTTTCAAGGAACTTGCTCTTGTTGTTGTTTCAGCTTGTCAAATTATAACAGTTTTCCTTGAGTAAAGAGGACCTTTTGGATTCACATTATGATAACTGGGCTAGCCGTTAATTGAGGAATTTGTTTTTGTTGTTTCAGCTTGTCAAATTATAACACTTTTCCTTGAGTAAAGAGAAGCTTTTGGGTTCACATTATGACAACTGTGTTAGCCATTACTTAAGGAATTTGTTGTTGTTGTTACAGCTTGTAAAATTATAATAGTTTTCCTTGAGTAAAGAGGAATTTTTAGGTTCACATTATGACAACTGAGTAAGCTGTTAATTGAAGAATTTGTTGTTGTTGTTTCAGTCTGTTAAATTATAACATACATTTTTGTAGAGATTACGGCGGACTAAGATTGCTACTGTTATATTTTACATCGTTTTTGATTGGCAAATCTAGATTTGCTCTTGATCTGTCATTTTTTATTTGAATTTTGTGGTTCAATCGAATATGTTTAGCGTAATTCCAAAATACCAAATGTAATTCAAATATCTAATAATATAAACAACTGGTATTTTTAAGTTGATTTTAATAATCTGACAAAATATTTTAAGTTTAATAAATTAATTTCAAGTGTTACACAATCCGCACGAGATATACGAATTAAAAATGAAAATTGCACTAAAAATGTATCTCGATTGAAAAAGTTACCCCAGATTTATCAATCGAAAATGGCATTTAATTTTTCAATCGAAAACGACATTAATTGATCGTAAATGACTAATAGTTTTCTGAACTATAAGACTTTTTTAAATCAACTGTAAAATTTTTAATTGTTATAATTGTAATAATAATTTTCTCATTAAAAAGTTTATTCGCTTATTAAAAGAATTCTATTACTATAAAAAAGTTTTAAATAAACTTAAATAAATTAATTGGGTACTGTTAAATATTATATTTGAAAAATATTCAGTACTAAATTATCCCTATGTTTATATTAAACTTGTAGTGCAACTGTTCGAACCCCATCAATTCAAATCAATGGGTTAGATTAGATTATAATGACAATCCTCAGAAGTCAGATATTTTGATTTATTGTGTGACTATATAAAATTGAATAGTTTTAAATCAACTGGAACCTTTAATGAATTTTAAGAAACTTTTTAAATTTTTTTTATAGTTAGAAGATTTAAAGCTTTATGCATCGTTAAACACCCGACTCTCTAACATACCTCTGTAATTGCTTTCAACTTTGGAACTACGGGAAGCGTCTATTTTATGTTCACATTTTAAACTACGTGCTTTTGGTTTTCAATCTGCGCTCATACCTCTACTTATTTACCACATTTTCCGGTAGCTGCATGTTTTAGTAACTTAGTTTCTGTTTCTCCTTTCTAGGGGTAATTTTTTTGCTTTGATGACTTAAATCACGTATCAATTGCCAGTTCTATGGGTTCGCTCGCATCGTTTTTATTATATTTTCGGGATTTATTTATGCAATTCAGACTTGTATTTCTTCTAATAGTGTGAACTACCTATTACAGAAAAAAAGTGTGTTCTGCGTCATTACAGTCTCCGTCTTCACAAATACATTCGAGTAAATCTGCTCTTCCCATGCAGTGTAGGTATTTTTAATAGTATTCATATCCGATCAGTATCTAAGTGAGATAGTAATTTGTGTCTTTCGGTTTCCGTTTGAACCAGGTGATCATATAGGGTGTCAGACTCCGGTTCAATACTGCATGAAGCATTTCATGACTTAAATGACCTAAGTTAGCATGGGTTAAATATTTTTTGTGTTATCAAACACATTTCACTTGCTTATAGTTTATGTTAAGTGAAACATATCTTCTGTGAGATAGGCAATCAATGGGATATATCATCTATTATCTACTGTAAATAATTGTCGAACGGCTGTATAATGTTCTAATAGTATTATAGTAGTATAATAGTATTAGCATTACATGTTACTTCCAAGATAAAATTCTGTTTACTGTTATTTAACTACATTAAGTTATAGGAATGTTTTTAAATAATTTAATATATTATTTAATTGAAAACTATGACGACATGTAGTGTACAGTATATATATATTTTATATTATCACATATTTTCTGATTAATGGATTCTCTAATATTTCTTCTTAGAACATTACGTATGCTTCTGTGGCGACCCAGTTGGCTGTGCATTTATTGAATTTAAAAAGTAAAATTCAATTTCAAATATTTTTAAGTTTTTTGTTTTGATTGAGGAGAACGTTCCGATTTTTCTCTCTGTAAAAAGTTGAATAAAAGTTTATTAACATTGAAAATTTTTAGAGTTTTATTAATTAGCAAGGTGAACAGATCATTGCTAAATTGGTGACCCCGACGTGATTTCGAAAAAGTTTAAATTTAGAAATATTAACTTCTGAGCTAAATATCTAATTATCGAGCTGTGATGTCAGTTGCAGACGAAGGTGTAGTAATGGCTTCTGATAGTGGAAGTGTCGTAAACCGTGTAGCAGTGAAGGTGCCACCGTTTTGGCACGAGCGACCGGAGATTTGGTTTGCTCAGATCGAGGCGCAATTCGCAGTAGCTGCCATTACGAGTGATATCACACAGTTCAACACGGTAGTAGCAGCGATTGAGTCAAGTGTTATCGCCGATGTAAGTGATGCAGTGCTTCATCCTCCTGAAACTGGAAGATACGCTAATTTAAAGGCTTGCATCATAGAGCGGTACAGTGAGAGCGAGCAGCGGAAGATTCAACGGTTGTTGTCAGAAGTTGAACTTGGTGATAGACGCCCAACACAGTTGCTAACGGAGTTGACAGCATTAGCTAAAGACAAGGTGAGCGATGAGTTCCTTAAGTCTCTTTGGCTGAAGCGTTTGCCACCACAAGTGCGCGCTATTCTGCAGGCATCGAACGTGGCACTAGCAGAACTGGCGAAATTAGCAGATCGTATTTGCGAGGCGGGTGATTTTCAACAGATAGCTGTAGCGTCAGCCTCTGATTGTCCAGCCTATTCTGAGAATGCTGTGATTTTACGAAGGCTTGAGCAAATCGAACAGCGTCTGAGTCGTTTGGATTTACGTCGTAGTGAGTCGGTGCAAAGTCGATCGTCATCGAGGAGACGTAGGCGAACTCGTTCCCGACCAGGAAGTCATCCAGATTGGTGCTGGTATCACGAAAGGTTTGGTGATAGAGCTAATGCTTGTCGGCAGCCCTGTAGTTTTGTGGCAAGCTCTCATCAGTCAAAAAACTAGGCACTCCTTCTACGTCGTCGAGCCGAGAAGGGGTTAGTGTTCGTATAGCTCGACTTAGTATTAAAGATCCCGCCACGTCGACCGTTTTTCTCATTGATACTGGTGCGGACATATCAGTTTTACCGAAGTCGTTCTGTCGTTGGAAGCAAAGGGCTAACAGTGTTGCATCAGTTAATTTATATGCCGCTAATGGTACGCCTATTCAAACATTTGGCGAGCGTCGACTGCTTTTGTCTTTGGGTTTGCGTAGAGATTTCCCGTGGACGTTCGTGATTGCGGATGTTAGCTGTCCTATTGTTGGAGCCGACTTCCTTAATCACTATGACTTGTTAGTGGATTTGAAAAGGAAGCGGTTAGTTGATTCGAAGACGACTTTGATGATGAAGGGTAAGGCTGCTGTGTCTCAAGAAGATACTGTGCGTGTGTGTGGTTCAGTTTCAGCTTTTGCTGAGCTGGTTAATGAATACCGTGATTTAGGCATTATGAGTGCAAATCGGATGGGTTTAGTTACTAAGGTTGAACATTGCATCGAGACATTTGGTGCGCCGTCATTTGCTCGTCCCCGACGTTTAGTTGGAGCCAAACTTGAAGAAGCCAAGAAGGAATTCCAATTTTTAGTCCAGACGGGGATTTGTCAACCTTCGAAAAGCTGTTGGGCAAGTCCACTTCACATGGTTCGCAAAGGCGATGGAAGTTGGAGACCGTGTGGCGATTATCGCATGCTCAACGCGCAAACTAAACCTGATCGGTATCCGATTCCGTTCATTCATGATGTGACGAGTATTCTTCATGGTAAAACTATGTTTTCGAAGATAGATTTGCAGAAAGCGTATCATCAGATACCGCTTGCACTGGCAGACATTCCGAAGACAGCTATTACAACTCCGTTTGGCCTGTTCGAGTTTCGCTTTATGACTTTCGGTCTCCGTAATGCTGCCCAGACGTTTCAGCGTTTTATGAATGAGACTCTAGGTGATTTTAATTTCGTTTTTGCGTACATCGACGATATTTTAATTGCGTCAAAAGATGAAGCAGAACACAGAATGCATTTGCGACTGGTTTTAGATCGACTTAGAGAAACTGGTTTGACCGTGAATTTTGCCAAGTGTAAGTTCGGCTGTTCCGAGATCGAGTTCCTTGGGCACGTTATTAGTGCAAAGGGTTTACGTCCTCCGGAGAGTAAAGTTCAAGCTGTTCGTGATTTTCCTCTGCCAGCAACGGTGAAACAGCTTAGACAATTCTTAGGCATGGTGAACTTTTA